GTGATTTCTCCTCTTTCATTTATGATTCTGTGTATTTGTGCTTTCTCCCTTTTTTCCTTTGTGAGCCTGGCTAGGGGTTTGTCTATTTTATTTATTTTTTCAAAGAACCAGCTCTTGGTTTCATTGATCTTTTGGATTGTTTTTTAGTTTCAATTTCATTTATTTCTGCTTTGGTTTTTATTATTTCTTTTCTTCTACTGGTTCTGGGGTTTTTTTGTTGTTCTTTTTCTAGATCTTTGAGCTTCGAGATTAGGTTGTTTCTTTGAGTTCTTTCTTGTTTTTTGATGTGAGCTTCTATTGCTATATATTTTCCTCTTATTACTGAGAAGCAGGTTTATTGTACTGGTACTGGCCCAGCGGATATGCATCCAAAGGCTGAGCCCTGTTTGTAGGAAGTCAGGGGCTTATATACACACTTTTAGTTTCTACAAGGTTCTGGGTGGGTTTGCATCGGCAGCTGTACATGCTCAGATATGACGTGGCTACATACCAAGAAGTGAGTAAAGGGTCAGCGGTCACAGGATTTTTCAGGTCCATCTTGCTTCATCATTAACATTGGCAGTGGCATCTGGTACAGCGGGAACTAAGCAAAAGGTTGTTACTCAAGTTCTCCAGGTTGCTTAGCTCAGGTCACCATGCTTCATTAGGAGATATCTATCTATCTAGATCTTTAAAATAATAAATCTTTAATAAATAAATCTATCTATATCTATATATTTACTTATCTCTATATATTTATAGATATATTTATTTTTAAAGATTTATTTATTTATGAATACAAGAACTGGGGTATGGGCCAGAGGCATGGGGAGGGTGAGAGGATTCACCAGAGACAGAGTGGGGAACAGGACAGGCAGACTGACTGAAATACACTGCTGAGGGGAGCAGCAGGCGAGACAGGGGAGGTCTGCTGTGCCATGTGGGTTATCTCCCTGGCCAGGGATCGAAGTACTTGTGCTGCGGTGGCTGCGGACACCTTCATAGTGCTGTGACTTAACCCCTTGCACCATCAGATATAATTATTTTATTTATTTATTAAAAAGATTTATTTTATTTATACAAGCACTGGGTACAGTCAGAAGCACGGGAGGGTGAGAGAATTCACCACAGCCAGAGTGGAGAGCAGGACAGGCAGACTGACGAAATACACTGCTGAGGGGAGCAGCGGGTGGCAGGAGAGGTCTGCGCTCCATGTGGGACCCTTGCCTGGCAGCTGGGGATTGAACCGGCACTGCAGAGGCTGTGGGCAGCTTCGCAACCCAGCGCTCAACCGCTGCGCCACTGGGGAGGCCCGATATAATTACTTTAAGTAAAGTGACATCACAGCTGCATGTGGGATAATTTCCTTTTTGTGGGTATTTCCTTATCGTTTATTGGTATTGATGAGTACAAATACTAACATGGTAAAAAATGATTGTATAAAGCTAACCCACAAATCAGAGCTATTGGTTTTTCAGTGCAGTCTGAGAACACTATGGATACTCCTGCTAAGATTTTGGCCAAATGCCCAAAAACAGATGACTGGATCAAGAAGATGTGGTACATATACACCATGGAATATTACTCAGCATTCAAAAAAGATAAACACATGCAATTTGCAGCAACATGGATGGAGCTGGAAGGGATCATGCTCAGCGAAATAAGCCAGAAAGAAAAAGAAAAATACCGGATGGTCTCACTCATAGCAGGAATCTAGAAAACTTAAATAAGGGACCAGGAAAAGAATAATTATAAGAAAGAAAATATCAAAATCAACAAACAACTATGAACCAGAGACACTCTATGGAGTGGTGAGGGTGCGGGGAAAGAAGGGATTGGGGTCAAAATAAGGGGGTTGTAATTGTATGGGGAATATAAAAATGAAATTTAAATTAAAAAAAAGTGGAAGCTGTAAAAAAAAATAAATAAACAAACAAACAAACAAATAAATAAATAAATATAAAAAGAAAGGAAATAAAGCATAAGGGGCCTCCCGGGTGGTGCAAGGGGTAAAGCACTGCACTGTGAAGCAATCCGCAGCCTCTGCAGCATAAGTTCGATTCCCAGCCAGCCAGGGAGCAGCCCACATGGCGTGGCAGACCTCTCCTGTCTCTCCCACTACTCCCCTCAGCCGTGTATCTCAGTCAGTCTGCCTGCTCTGTTCCCCACTCTGTCTCTGGTGATTCCTCTCACCCCCCACACCTCTGGCCTGTACCCCAGCACTTGTATGCATAAATAAATCTTTAAAAAAAAAAAAAGAAAAGAGATAATAAAGCATGAACAAATGAAAAATTTAAAAAAAAAAAAAAGAAAAAGAAGATTTCAGGTTGGTGTTACAGTTTGTAGAGAGCTCCACCTACTCACTGGAGGTGTTGCTCCCTCCCCACAGCCTGTAGGATTGGTACTGGCAGTCTTAGGATCCCCAGAGGAGGAAGGTGAAGTTTGGAGAATTGAGGGTATTGCCTAAGGTCACTAAATGAGTAAAGGGCTGAGATGAGACCTTGCTTTTCTGCAACTGGACAGCAAGATGGAAAAGAGTGCCAGTATGCACCCCTGGCTCTGACATGTACTACCTGTGAGGTCCCAACAAGTTACTTACAGTTCTTTAGGCTTCAGTTTCTCACTTTAAAAGTTGTAAAAGTACACGCTTTCTAAGGTTGTGGTTAATACCTACAAAGTAGTTATTATTAACTGTGCCCTACAGTTAATAAATATGGGTTACATAATGCATTACCCATAGCCTCATCTCCATTAGGTGAGACATGCTCAAGAACAGCCTCCAACCTCCTTTAAAGGATGTGTAAAATTTTATTTAAAAGCTTGCTATAGTTATGACTCATCCACATCAACAATTAATTCCTCTCCCATTAAAAGGGATTCTTTTCTGGAACAATTCTAACCAGCTAAATTGCCTTAACTTACTAAACAACTATCATCAGTTGCTGGGAAATATCCTTTACCAGTATACCCCTGCTGGGCCATTTATGGTTCTTGAAAACTTTCTATCTGTATATCAAACTCTAATTTCCTGCTAATGTCCCTTATAGTTGCAGAAGGTCTTGGCCTGCCAGGAAAAGGGAGTGGCTTCTAACACCTGTATTTTAGGCTTATTGACACTAAATTCTTGCCCAATGTTTTCATTCACTTGGAAAATTTGCAGCACACCCTTCTGAAATACAAAGATTCTTCTGGCAATTCAGTTAGCCCTCCTTTTTCTGTGCAATAAACATCAGTTATTGTTTTTACTACTTTTCTGGTTTAGATTTTGATTTCTCAAAGCAGGTGATGCTTGCATTTGTAATCTTTGTTACCCTAAGAGAAGCCTCTTTTTACCATGGAGAATTTCTAATATTTTTTTCTGTCTTCTAGACCTGCAGCTACTCACATTGCTATAATTATTGCCTCCCACAATTTTTCTGCAAAGGCAGAAGATTTAATTTGCATCTTAATATAATTTATTCAGCTTAGCTAATGTTCCAGGCAAGGAAGGTAAAAAGGTCAGATCTGGGCCCACATTTATCTACAGTTTTTGGCTACCATATCTGTGTGTGCTTGATGTATTTTGCAGAGCAATCCAAACTAACATAATGCTTGAAAGAGGCAGAGGATGAGGAGAAGGGGGGAGAAATTAAATAGATTAAAAGGAAAAGAATATGGGAGCAAAAACTGTAGATTTTTTTTTTTTATAGAGGCATGTTTCTTTCTTTATTTGTTTGTTTGTTTATACATGCACTGGGTACAGTCAGAAGCGCGGGAGGGTGAGAGAATTCACCAGAGGCAGAGCGGGGAGCAGAGCAGGCAGGAGGACCGAGGTACACTGCTGAGGGGAGCAGCGGGCGGCAGGAGAGGTCTGCGGAAAGCAGCTGGGGATCAAACCGGCGCCGCAGAGGCCACGGGCAGCTTCGCAACCCAGCGCTCAACCGCTGCGCCACTGGGGAGGCCCAAAAATACTGTAGACTTTTAATGGAAGTACATCATCACAAGCAAGAAGAAAATGGGGAAACTTTATTTTAATGATTAAATCATAACATTCCATGAAGGGACTACCCTAAGTAATTTCAGAGGCCTCACTGGGAGGGGAGCCCCACCACCCTGTGCCACAAAAACAATTTGAAATAACCAATGACATGCAAGCACAATTTGCAAAAAGCAGAGCATCATCACAATATGATATGAAAAAAGTTTGGTTGAGCAAATAGATCTCACATCTTTGAAAGAGAAAAGGAGTCATTAAAATTACACTTGTTGAGCCTGGGAAATCTTGGAAATGTCAATGAATCTTCTCCATTACAGCAGAAACAAAGGTCCAGAAAGGTTAAGCCATCCCTCCAGGGTCACTGAGCAAAGATTCTCCATTTACTATTTTTAGAATAAGAAGTTTGCTCTCAGATGGTTTTTCAAAATGGGTATCATACTTTTTATTTATACAGATCTTTCATATAAAATTATATCCCTCACTATGTAACCAGTTATTTTCCTGGTGCAATGCTATGACTTCCCCCACCCCCCCTTTGAATATTCCTCTGCAGCGCAAAAAGGCTCAGCCAGATTTGAAAACCACAGATTCAGAAATATGGCACAAAGGTGCAATTCACAATTAAACCACACTTTAAAAAATTAAATATTCACAATAAATCAAAATAGCCATCGCCAGTGGCAAAGACATGTTTATGTTTCACCATAGGACAAATTAAAAGTACCTGCCAAAATATCTCTTTCTCTCATTGTTAAATCACCTAGACTCCCAAAATGCATCTGTTCCTAATATTCAATGTCAACAGTACAACTGAAATTCATTACATTCACAATGGTCACCATGGTGTTCTGTGTTCAAGACTCCAGAATCTTGATTTCCTAAAATGAGGTAGATAAACATTTAAGGATTTTGTTGTTTGGGACTAATTTCCTCTAGATCTTGATCATCTTTGTTTTGAAATAGAATTCCAAAATATTTAGCAAAAAATTGAAAATGTCTGAGCACTTTGCCTAAAAATGGAAAAATATAATTTCAAAAGGTTATTATGAAAATTCTTTTACCTCATTAGAATTTAAAAACAGGATAAAAGCCTCAAATTACAAAACCAGTACTCTCTGAAAGCTGACAGATAACCCAACATCACAGTACACTTAAAGAGCCCCTTGCTCTAGCTCTGGCTTGGGAGTGTACGGGTATCAAGACATCCTGTTAACTCATTCACGGGCCAGACCAGCTGCTGCCCCCTTAACTTTTGATCCTAAATTTCAAGTCTCCTCCAAAATTCAAGCGTGGCTTCTGGAGATCTGACTTCCATGTCTGGAGATAGGTCAAGCTTCATCCAGAAGCTGGAGCATTGGTCCACCAGGTGGTGGACAAAGTTGAAAAAATGATGGAGCCACGGGTATTAAGAGGTTGTCCTGGGCAGGCTTACAGACTGTGGGGAGCAGGACCGATTTCATCAACCAGGCGGTGTCCTCGGGCCCATCAAGTTGTGGGAGGCAGCGTAGGCATTAGACCAGCAAAAGCTGGCAGGCCACTGCGCATCTTAGTCTTTTTACGAGGTGCCATGGGTGAAGCACCCAAGAGCTTGCTGAGGGAGCCCGACTTCCTCAAGCCTCGAGCCAGGTCCTGAAGTTTCTGATCGTCGGTCAGGACGCCTAGAAATGCGCTCGTGGTGGAACTGAGGATGGTGGCGGCCACCTGCACCGGGCGCCGGACCGCGAGGCTGCCACTTCCAGCGCCCGACGAATCGGACTCTGTGCAGCCGGGCAGGCTGGGGTCTCCGAGTAAGCGGCGCAGCGCATACGAGGAGCCGGGCGGCAAGTACTGGTAGGCGCGTCGCCCGCTGTGGTCACGCACCTGCACCTGCGCCCCCAGGCCCCTCACCAGCAGCACCGCGGCGTCCTCGCGGCCGTGCAGCGCGGCCAGGTGCAGCGGCGTGTAGCCGCCGTGGGAGCGCGCGTTTACATCGACCCGCACGCCCCCACCCCGGGCGACCTCCACCAGCCGCAGCGCCATCTCCTGGTCCCCGCTCTTGGCCGCCCAGTGCAGGGCCGTGTAGCCAGACATGAAGTCGCGCTTGGCTGCCAGACCGCAGTCGCGCAGCAGGAGCCCGTGCAGCTGGTGGGTCCAGCGGCCGCCGGACGCCCGCACTAGCCACTCGTGCTCGGTCGGCTCCAGGGGGACGGCGGCCGGCGGCGTCGTGGCGGGCGCCTCCTCGGTGTCGGGGCTCAGCAGACGCGGGCCAGCGCGCGACGGGCGCCTCAGGTACGGGGAGCGGCCCAAGCCCGCCGCACCGTGGCCGGGGCCAGCTTCCTCCACCGAGAGTCGCCGGAGCAGCAGCGGGGAGCTCCGCGGGCTGCGCTCTTCCGACAGCTGCCGACGCGGGGCCAGCTCTTCCCCCCGAAAGCGGGAAGCCGGGGTGTCCGGGATGTAACGCACCGGCAGCATGCAGGGCTTCTTCGGCTGCGCGCGCGGAGCGGGTGGTGGCGACGGCTGTTCCGTGGCCCCAGGTCCAGGCTCCGACTCTGGCGGGTCTGCGTCGGACAGGGTCCCCTCGGACGGGGCCCTAGACGGTGGGGCCAGATCCGCTGAGCATCCCTCCGAGGGCTGGGCTAACGCAAAGGTTGGAATCACGGGTTCTGAGGCCCCCCGTGGGAGCTGGGCGAGGCCCAGCAACAGCTCCCCGGTTGGCTGAAGGGGCTCGGAGGCAGGGGTGTCCAGGGGCTCTGATGGCGGGGTCCGGTTCTCAGGTGGCTCCGTGGACCGCCGCTCCTGGGCCGCGCTGTCCCCCGAGGAGACCGAAGCTATGGTCGACGGCGGGGCTGGTGCCTCGGGGGCGCTGGGGACGCAGGCGGGCGGGGGCTCTGGTGCGTCCCGGGGCCGCAGCTTCTTCAGCACCACGAACTTGACGCCGTCGAACTCCTTCACCACCGCCACGGTGTTGACGAACTGCTTGAAGCGGTCCCTGCGGGCGGCGCGGCCGCTCGGGTCCCCGGCGTCCACCAGCGGCTTGAAGCGGCTGAGCAGCTCGGAGTTGCGCACCTTCCCGCCGTGCTCCTGCAGGAAGCCCAGCACCGCCGCCTGGCTCACCCCCGCGGCCGCGGCGGCTGCAGCCGCGGCCAGCGCCATGGTCCTCCCGGCCCGCGCCGCCCGCTGTTTCCGGCTGCCGGGCAGGTGCGTGGCGCGGCGCCCTCTAGGGCGCGCGGACTTGGGGTTCTGGGAGTCGCCGCCGCCCGGGCGGAGCTCACCTGATCGCGCTCACCGAGGCCCAACGGGTGTGTCCCCGAAGCTGGACCTCGGTCTCGCCGGCGCCGCCAGTCCCGGCTGTCTCGGCGAGCAAGACGCAGGGGCCCGGGGCGCGCATCCTCCGCCGCCCCGCCGCGCCCCCAGCTCCGGGGTAGGTTTCAGCCTTTCTGTGCTGCCCAATGGGCGCCGGGCGTCGGCCTCTGCGCGCGGCGCTCGCCTTACAGGTGACAGCTGCCTCCAGCGCCGCCCAGGGAGTGCGGGAGCGGAAATTCTGCACCGCACCCCCCAGCCGGGAATTAAAGGCGCAGGACCAGGCTGCAGCTCGGCTCGCGTTGCTAGGTGGGTGTGTTCCCCGGGGAGGCAGCGGTTACTAGCGACCCGAGGCAAGGTTTGTATTCCTTTGAGAAATATTTAGCTACCGCAAAATACCGGGCGATTATTTTAAAGCTAGCACTTATTCCAAGGCTATTAGTACCTCTCCAGTTGTCCATTGCGTTTTATAGGGGATAACGGTTTCAGACAGTTTGCAGCAAAGATAATGCGACTGGCAATGCATTCACTAGAGGCTTAGGTGACGCGTTTTAAAACGCGAATTTCTCATGATGAAGTAGTATATTTTCACATGGAATTTTGGGGGTAAAACCATAGGAAAATTTAAGAGGGTAAAAAAGCACCTAAAACCACTAATATTTTGAAAATATTTTCTCTATCCCCTACGTTTATGTGCATGCATGTTCGTGCTTTAAAATAATAAAGTCGGGCCTCCCTGGTGGCGCGCAAGGGGTTAAGCACCGCACTATGAAACAATCAACAGCCTCTACAAAACAAGTTCGATTCCCCCCCACCCCCCACCCCCATACCCCCGCAGGCCAGGGATAAACCCACTTGGCGAGGCAGACCTCTCCTGTCTCGCTCGCTGCTCCCCTCAGCAGTGTATTTCAGCCAGTCTGCCTGTTCTGTTCCCCGCTCTGTCTCTGGTGGATCCTCTCACATCTCCCCTCACACACACACCCCTCCCCCACATCTCTGACCTGTGCCCCAGCTCTTGTATGCATAAATAAATAAATAAATCTTAAAAAAATAAAATAAAAAAGTCGAAGTATCAGTCATGCTATGTTGACAAACTTCATTTAATCCCCAAACATCTGTTGAGCACCTCCTTGGCGCCAGGATCTTTTAAGGTAGTGATGCATCAGTTAGCAAGACAAAAAACAAAACATAAAAAAATCCTTACCTGTGGTGGTCACATGGTGGAGGGGAACAGAAGCAATAAAGTGAATCTGGAAATTATATAAAATGCAAGATTAATATTATGGAAGAAATAAAGCAAGGCAAAAGCAGAGGAGGGACCAGTTGTAATTTTGAGCCTGTGGTCAGGGCCCCACTCATCAAGGTCACAATGAAGCAAGGACTTAAAGATCAGTGAGTTAGGTGGGAGAAGCTTTTTCAGCTGCAGCTCCAGGGAAAGGGTGGGATTTATTATAAGGGAATACAAATCAAAACCACAATGAGATAGATACGTACTAATTCCTGTCAGAGGGGCCTATGGCAAAAAACAAAAACAAGAAAAAAAAAGAAGGAAAGGAAAAAAGAGCAAATGTTGACCAGCAGGATGTGGAGAGAAAGGAACACTTATCTACTGTTGGTGGGAATGCAGTGGTGCACACTCTGATGGAAAATGGTATGGAGATACTATCTCCAATATGATACAGCAACACCTCTGCTAGGTATTTATAAATACCTATGATTGTGAAAACACTAACCCAAAGAGATTTATGTACTCCTATGTTCATAGCAGCACGGTCCATAATTGCCAAGTTATGGTACCAACCTAAGTGCCCAACAGCAGGTGATTGGATAGAGAAATTGTGGCATATACTTAATGGAATGCTACACAGCTATTTTAAAAAGATGAAACGGTGCCTTTTGACAAGGACAAAATGGATGGGCTTAGAGGTGATTGTGCTAGGTAATATAAGTCAGACAGATATCAGATGTTGACTTATCTATAGAATAAACAATCAAAAACCTGTTTTTTTGCAAAGCATAGCAGAAACAACTCTTAGATCTTGTGAAAAGCATACTGGTTACTGGAGGGAACAGGGCAGAGAATGAGGGGATGGGCTAGGAAGGGGGTAGAGCACTGGCATGAGAGGTTTGGTGGAGGGTGAGTGAAGTATGTGCACATATGGAGGAGTAAAAATGTAACCCCAAATTTATATAGATATGTAAATGACCAAAAAATTAACTTGAAAAACCTGTTGACACATTTCTTTTTTTCCTTAGGAGAGATTCCTACAAAGAGAATCAGTAGGCCAAAGGGAATTATTTTTAAGATTCTTGAAGCTTATTGCTAAATTATTTTCCAGAGAAGTTGAGTCCTGTGAAAGTACCCTCTATTTCCCTTACTGGCTTCCAGTAATATCTTTTAATTTGTGGATTTGAAAGGCAAAAAAATATTATATCTCTAATTTCCATCTATTTTATTACTAATAAAGTTAAACTTCCCCTGTCTTATTTATTGTCTATGAATTTTATTCTTTTGTGAAACATCCTTTTCTTTCTCCATTTATTTTCTGGTTGAGATGGGCTTACTAGCCCTTTATTATACATGTTATAAATATTTTCTTTGTCCTTTGTCTTTTAATTTTGTTTTCTAATGACACTCATTTTTAGACAACTACTTTTTAATTGCAAATATTGTGTCCTTTTAGCTTTAGAATGTGAGTGTAAAACAAGGATTACATCTCCCTTTTAAAGGAGAAATTTTATGATCAATTTGCCCCGTATTATTAAGCATTTTTTATCAGAATGATGACATTACTCTTGTAAGAAGTCCTTAGGTTTTTAACATACAATGATACTGTAGTCAGCTATCATTCTGTCTAAATATCACCCCTTCTTTAAACCCAGGTCAAATCCTACCCCTGTAAGGTATTCTGCAGCTGCCCCAGTTGCATCACCCTGTGCCCTTCTTTTCTTTTTTTAAGATTTATTTATTTATGCATAGATGAACTGGGTGTAGGCCAGAGGTTGGGGGTGGTGGTGAGAGGATTCACCAGAGACAGAGTGGGGAGCAGAACAAGCAGATCTACTGAAATACACTGGCCGAGGAGAGCAGTGGGCAAGCCAGGAGAGGTCTGCTGTGCTATGTGGGTCAGCTCCCTGGCCAGATTGAACTCAGGCCACAGTGGAGATAGTGCTGAGACTTAACCCCTAGGCCACCAGGGAGGCCCCTGTCCTTCTTTAACTTATTTCAGCAAAGATCTATTGACTATCATTGGGTTCAAGAGAGTGAGCCAGGTTCTCTGGGAAAAAAGACAGAACGTGTTTTTGTGAAGGAGAAAAAAAACATACAATTAATTATGTTGTGTATCCACATGAAAGGAATGTTCCATGGACTTACTGGATTCTAGGAGAGAAACCTGGGGAAGTATTTAAGAGGCAGGCTGTGAGAACAGACTAGGTGAAGGCTTGGAAGTTGGACTGTGAAGTTGAATTTAGGGTAAGCAGTGCCTATTGTATTTTCGATTTAGGGTATTTATCAGAAATGCAAAAGATTATGTTGGAAAATAATCTGGGGTCATGAGTGAAGAAACTTCAGTGCTAGTCTGAACCTTATTCTGTTTGTAGTTGAGTTTTATTTCTAAACAGTGATTTATTTCCTGATTATAAAGTTAATAGTGATGTCATCCAAATTAAATAGCTTCCAATATATAAAAAGAACAGATCAGGGCCTCCATGGTTGAACAGGTATTAAAGACACAGTGCTATCAAGCTATTGCCAGCCACTGTAACATAAATTCAATCCCCAGCCAGGGAGCTGATCAACATGGCACAGCAGACCTCTCCTGTCTCCCCACTGCTCCCCTCAGCAGTATATTTCAGTCAATACACCTGTTCTGCTCCCCACTCTGTCTCTGGTGAATCCTCTCACTCTCCCCCCCACACCTCCTGCCTATACCCCAGTTCTTGTATGCATAAATAAATAAATCTTAAAAAAATAAAAAGAAAAAGAGCAGATCACATGTTAACAATCCATCTTTTTTGGTTTCTTTTATGAGGAGATTTGGGTTTTTTTAAGAAACATTGGTAGATATATGCACAAATGAAATTAGGCCACCTGTTGTTTCATAATCCATGCTTTTTTTTTTTTTTAAAGACTTATTCATTTCTGAATAGAAGAACTGGGGTTCAGGCCAGAGGTATGGGGGTTGAGAGGATTCACCAGAGATAGAGTGGGGAGCAGAACAGGTGGACTGACTGAAATACACTGCTGAGGGGCGCAGTGGGCAAGACAGAAGAGGTCTGCTGCACCTTATGGGTAGCTCCCTGGCTGAGGATCGAACTCATGCTGCACGGCTGCAGAGAGCTTCATAGTGCTGCGACTTAACCCTTTGTGCCACCAGGGAGGCCCCTAATCCATGCTTCTTGTCTGCCCACTGTAACCAATGCCATTAGGGTAAATGGGTGGAAGAGGGGGTCTGGGGGAGGTGATTACCGGGTCCCTGTCAGAGATGGTCATGGTCACTGAGCTAGGCAATGAGAGGGGAAAGACAGGGATGTCTGCCAAAGATGTTTCAGAAGCAGAACTTACCATATATTGCCTGTTTTCATTTTTAAAGTCACATTCCCTTTGTTGCAATTTTCTTTTCAACAGCTACTGTCTATCTATATGTCTTTTCAGGACAAATTATTGTGTTCCTTGAAAATTCATTTCCATAATCTTATAGGTAATGGAGCTTCAATCAACTTGGACTTTTGTTACTAGCCCTTCTCTCTAAGAGGAGGAGGGAGAAAATTCCTCTGTTAAAAATCATCATTGATTTATGTGGTTGGCACTCATTTTGACTGTGATCACTAAGAGTAGACAAGGGATTAAA